GGTGACTCTGCGTGGGGGCACCTTGCTGCCCTGGGGGGACCTGAGCAGTGTCTGGAGACTTCCATGGTGGTCATGGCCAGGTGAGCTGCTACTGGCATCTGGTGGTGAGAGGGGATTCGGTGAAACACCTGCCCAGCCAAGGGAGCCCCTTGCGTGGAATCACCCAGCCAAAATGTCAGTCGTGCTGAGGCTGAGAAACCCGCTCCTGGAACCCTGCTACCCACGGGACCCTGCTGTGGTGGGCAAAGCGGGTGGGCAGAAGGCAGGCCCACCTCCCGGCCCCAGCGCATCCTCGAGCTCTTTCCCCGGGCTGCCTCTCCCGCGGTCACGCCCTGAGTCACGCTGCCCTTACATCCAGGCTCAGGTGTGCACACTTACGCCTGCGTGCACATCCACGCACCAGGTGTCCACAATCAGGCCACGCCCCCAAACACCCGCTACGTCCACGTGATCAAGGCCACAGGTGATAGACACAGAGGCCAAAGGTGCAAAATGCCTGATCAACTTCACCCACCTGCACCTGCTCCTGATGCTGGCTGCCCTGACCCTGGCAGCAAGCTGGCCCTGGTCTGGCCAGGCTGAGTGCTGACCTCGGCTCAGGCTGAACTTCAGTACATCCTCCGCCTCACAGACAGGATGGGGTGGGGTACGTGGCTTCTGCTCCCTGCAGGGCCGATTCTGTCAGGCTCTCCTTTCGAGCCTGCAGAAGTAAAGGGGAACTTGGGTCCTGTGGCTGGGCCTGCTGGGGCTGGGGAGAGGAGCAGAACTTGCATGGAGGGTGCAGCGTAGAAGGAGGTTGTGTGGCAGGTTGGGACAAGCTGGACGGTCCCCGGTCCCACCTCTTGGGACAGGAGGGGAATCTGGCACGCCCAGCATCAGGCAGGAGGCTCTGGCTTCATCAGAGAGCCGGTTACCACAAACCTGCCCTTCAGCCCCTGGGAGGTGCCAGGGAAGAAGAGGGTGAGCTGGGCAGGCTGTGGTCCCATTCCTATCCATTGTGTGCGGGACGTCTGTCCAGTACAGTAAGCAAGGAAGGACAGGAAGGGTAGAAAGGTAGGAAGAAGGAGGCAGCCTTTCATGTCACGATGACATGATGATGTATGCAGAGAAGCCAAAAGAATCTACAGCTGGACCGTGAGGACGAAGACGCAGGTCTTCGAGCTGAGCGTGTTAAGTCGCCAGCCAGAGTGCATGTGAGCAACAAATAATTAGGGGCTCAGATTTGAACTAATTACGTTGCTCTGAAACATTTCAGGTGTCTAGGAACACAGTCAATGAAAGAAGGTCGGTGGCACCCGCGGGGTGCCTGCTGATCTGGGGTGTTACAGCTTAGGGCTATAGCAGAGGAGACCCCACGCTCTCCCGTTGGAGCTGACATCCCGGCACAAAGTCGGGGCCTTTCAAGAGCTGCGCCCTCATGCCCTCAGTGCAAGGGGGAGACTTGGAAAATGTCCACCTGCCCACCAGGGAGGTCAGCGAAGCGTGTCTGTCTGGGTTCGGCCTCACCTCAGGCGCGCTCCTTTGAGAGTCTGTAGTCTGAATTGGGCTGCGTGTTTCTGGTGCAGGTTGTCACCTAGACGACCCCAGGATTAAGATCCTCGTGCCAGGAACGCAGTGTAAAGGCGGTGCCAGTGTAGCAGTGCTCTGGTGGCACCACCAGAAGCGATCACAAGCGAGTCTGGGCCCTGGAGGAAACTACCCGCGACCCGGTGATGTCCCGGTCAAGATCAGCTCACAGTCGGGCAGTTAGCAAGTCCATTTGGACAGGGGCAGGAGGGATCATCAGACATTCAGACAGACATATGCAAACACCTCTCAAAAGTCTGAGATAATGTAAAATAGAATGATGTAGGTAAGTTAAAAAGTTTTATACCTTCTAGAGACATCATTGCCCAGCGTGTCGCTGCGCCCCATGGCCTGGA